CTGTACAATCCTGGGTTTTTTTCAGCCTTTCCTGGTTTTAAAATGGGAATAACCACTGCCTGCCTCCAGGCTAGTGGTACACGCCCTTCAGCCCATACATTATTAACTAACGCCAGAACCTCTTGCAGTACATCCTCCCCAAGATTTCTAAAAACTCTGTACATCAAACCATCCTTTCCTGGCGCAGTATGACCCCCCTTGTCAATTGCTCTGACTAACTCTGTAAAGGTAAAGAACAGGTTTATATAATCAGAATTGTCACAATTCATTTCAGTTTTATGCTGATGCACAGCCAACATTGAATCCCTCCTCCTTATTCCCTCCCGTCCCAGGTTTGCCCCACTATGCACTGCCTGAAATGCCTTGGACAATAGATCTGCCTTTTGCTCATCATTAACCGCTGCCCCTCTTTCACTCTCTAACACTGGAATAGACCGAGCACGCTTAACCCCAGACATACGCCTCACAGCTGACCACACTCGCTGGAGAGTTGTCTCCGCTCCTAGCTTGCTGCAATACTGCCTCCAGCACATTCGTTTTGCATTCTTGATAACCCTCCGGGCCACTGCTCTCAATTTCTTGTATTCTATTGCGTTTTCCTCTGTTGGATACTTCCTAAATTTCGTATACATTTTATTTCTATTCCTGATAGCGGCACTGCAGTCCTTGTTCCACCAGGGAACACAACCCTTTTCTCTTGGTTTACCCTTTTCTGGAATAAACAACTTAACATTATCAGCAATCATACTGCACAAACTATTACTCCAGTCATCCACTGTCCGGTCATCAACTTTATCCAAGTCTCTGCTACAGGCCTCTGAAAACTCTCCCCATTTTGCCTTATTATAATTTAGCTGCTTACGCCTAGTTTGCTCCTCTATCACCAGGGACTGGCCAAACCGAATGAAAATTGGGAAGTGATCATTCCCCATAGTGTACCCTTCCCATGTGTTCCACATTGCCCTACTAGCCAGCTGGGCTGATACTATGGATAGGTCTATAGATGACACGCTCCCTGTTCTAATGTCAAACCTGGTGGCCCTAGTGTCGTTTAAACACACCAACCCGTGCAGCTCCATCATGTCTTCTACCACCTGTCCATTCGTATCTGTGCTGTTACTGCCCCACAATTGGTTATGTGCATTAAAATCACCTACCCATACTAAGTGTTGCCCTATCCCACTAAGCATTTCTTCAAGCTCAACAATGTCCAAACTTGCACATGGATTATAAAAGTTCACCACTCCCACCTTTCCCTGGCTCACCCACACATTCACTGCAACACACTCCAATTCAGTGTTTAAAATCAGCCGTTCATATTGCACCCCCACCTTCACAAATATTGCACACCCTCCTCCAGGTCTATCTTCCCGATCTTTCCTTATAGCTTCATACCCAGGAATGACAAAGTCTAAACAAGGTTTTAGGCACGTCTCTTGAATACAAATCACATCAGGCTTTCCCTCTTTCAGCTGTCCTACACATCGTTTAAACTCTTGGCCATTTGCAATAAGGCTACGGGCATTCCACTGGAGGATGTGAAACATTCAGTTATCTGATGCCAGGCCGAAGTGGATCTCCTTCTTCGTCCTCTACTGACGCACTTTGTGAACTGCGCACACTATTCAAATTAAGATGCTCTGGGGAAACAGACAAATCCAAAAATCTCCCTGCCTCCTTGGCTATCATGGCCTTAATAGCCGAGGGAGTGTTCACTTGCTTGGCTGCCCACAGTACTTCAACCAAGAACGCAAAGAAAGACGTTTTGTCCACAATGAATGAATTTTCTGGTATTTGGGTGTGAGCGGCCACCGGAGGGCGCCTCTGCTCTGCCCCACACGGCCCTTCTCCACCATCCTCCTCAAGGTCCGGTCACCTCTTGCAGTAGTGCAGCATTTTCTGCCACACTTTTTCCTTCCCAGAATATTTGGCCCTGAACTACCTTTGTGAGTGGTTTCATTTGGCCACGCACGGAGGGAACAGGTTTCTGCTGAAACAAGTGAATGTAAATGACACATTTAGGTCTTTGATCATTGTTTTTGTTACAAATGACATGCCTCTACTTTGTTCACCAGCACACGCAGATAGGCATCACTGACCAGGGGCCCTGTTTATACTAGACGCTGCGCAGACGTTTCCAGGCTCCTAATGCAAATTTCTCAGCGTTCACATAAGGTTTAAAAATGATGTAGTTCTAGCGCCCGGCCAGTAGTGGGCAGAGAAACTTTACAACACGACACACGACCCCCAGCCCCGTGCCCAGCCCCCCTCCCGGCAGTATATTCAGTGTTGCCGACTTAGCGACTTTGTCGCTAGATTTAGCGACTTTTCAGACCCTATAGCGACTTTTCTTCAAAAAAGCGACTAGCGACAGATCTAGACAAAGCATTAAAATCATTAAAGGCACACCGCGGACTTTGTGACCTAAAGAGTTGACACATATGAGTTATTTTATATGAATACTTGGGCCAATATACAGCGCTTGACACTTGCAATGCTCCGAGCGGGGCTGCCCTCTTGAAATACCGCCCATGTAAGTTTCGAGCAGACGGACCGTCTGCCACCAGGTCACGTGACTTGGAAGAAAGACTTGCTTTACGGCTACAGGCGCTGATATACTCATGGAGCTAAGGCTTTTGCTACTCATTTTTCACCTGCTCGACTCCTGGTCATGGCTGAGGCAAGGAAAAATTTTAAACCTTCGGAGGAGGCTAAAAAGAGGAAACGCGAAAGGGATCGTGCTGTAAGCTGCATGTCTGTATGAGCGCTGCTCTTCACCTGGTTCCTGGATGTCATCGACTGCAAAGATGTCATTCCACGCAGCACGAGCTAGACGCAGAACTCCCTCATCCAGGATATAGAAGTCCATGTGTGGTAGATTACTAATGCAGCGGTCTGGAGGCTGACCACAGCAGAGTCTCTCAATATCTGTAGGCATGTCTCTACAGTTTGAACACACACACCAGTGCATGCTGTCTGAATACACACTCAAAAGACACGGCTGACTGTTTGTTGACTTTTGCGACAGTGCTGAGTTGCTTGTGGCCACTAGGGGCGCTAAACGTGAAAGTTGCAGGTCTAGCGCCCCTAGTGGCCAAGAGTTACACGGTGTGCCTTTAAATGTTGTTAATGTTGAAATTATTTTTCATTGTAGTTCTAAACATATTTAGGGTGTTTTTTACTCACTTTTGTCTCTCCCACGACGTTATTCCTCTCTCCTACAGCATCCGTTACAGTTATTTGCAAATAGCCAATTATGCAAATTAGGCGATGACGTCATTTAGCGACTTCTAGCGACTTCTGGGACAGCCAATAGCTACTTTCCTTACTGAGGAGTTGGCAACACTGAGTATATTCACGTCCTGTGCCAGACCCTCAGAAAGTACCAACATCATTCTGCATTTTAACAGCAGCTGTGAAAATGGGAACTGAACCTAGAGCTTCACGTGGTCTCGTTTGGACGAACGAAGGAGTAGAATTATCCTCTGTGCAGCGCTGGAAGCCCACGAAGCTAGTTAGTGCGCGCAGCGCCATTGTTGTTTTTGTTTGTTCTCCGCTACTGCGCGTGTCCAAATTTACGTGCGGGGAGCAGCGAGGAGGTGGGGGTCAGAGCCTTTGTCCCTCTCGCGGGTGTGAAAGAGCGCCCCGCTGTGCAGCGTATCTGAGTTGTCCCACTCTGCAGGCTGGATCTGAACACTTACGTTTTCACCCCCCTGGAACAATATAATAGATCCATGCCTGGAACACAGTCTTCGACTATACCGTTTTACTGCCACATTGTCTCCGTGTAAACTCAGCACACAGCACTCTGAACAGCCTATTGGCTCAGAATTATTGCCTTCTAGAGCAGTCAGGTAGTCTTACCCATGATTGCAGTTTTGAGTAATGAACCAGGCCGAGAGTTTTTAAAAGCCTCAGGAATCTTCTGCAAGTGTTTAGAGTTCATTTGTTGGTTCAGATGATTAGGTTAATAGCTCGTTTAGAGTACCTTTTCATGATATGCTAATTTTCTGAGATAGGGATTTTTGGTTTTTCTTTCCTTTTTTTTGCCAAATTCATCAATATTAAAACAATAAAAGGCTTGGACTAGTTCAGTTGTGTGTAATGAATCTAAAATATATGAAAGTCTAATATTTATCAGTATATTACAGAAAATAATGAACTTTATCAAAATATGCTAATTTTTTTAGGACCTGTATATGTTTGTGGTCGTAACATGTGCAAGAGTTCAGTCTGTACTAACACTTTAACAACACTGTATTTAAGGCCTTTCTGAAATGTTAAATTCTGTTTTGCGACCTTCAGGCGAGTCACATGAAGATGAAAAACATGTTTATTGCATGAGCTCTCACATTTGTCCATATAGTTTTTAACACTTGCACAAACCATTCTCTGCAGCAGTGAGTAACTATATAACATAATATTAAATAAGACGTTAACTTATGTAAAAGTTAAATGTAAAGAGTATAAAATATTGACAAACTAAAACCATCTCCCAAAGTGTCACTGGATCTGAATGTGAAATATAAATGTTTATGACGCAACAAGGGACGAGTAGTGCTAATGCTAATGTTTATGTTTGTGTGTATCATAGTTTGGTCAAATTCAAGCTTTAGGAAGTGTGTTTGTACAGCTCCACTTCATTTTATATTATTTTACTGTCTGACAATTCCAGTGTTTTATGTGTTTATGTCCTGTGCTGCTCAAACTAATTGCCCTGGGGGCATAAATAAAAAAGTCTGAATCTGGATAAATCTGGACACCTGTTTCTCCAACAGGGAACAATAATCCACCTGTGTTCAAATTAAATGAGAGATGACTTTAGACCTGTTTGGATGCATAAGTCTCCATACCCTCCCACTGAAGAAAAACATCATTAAAAGTTTAAAGTGCAGTTATACACACTCTGTGTTCACCACAGGTCTCTGTGTTTACTATGATCATCCCAAAGAAAAGACTAAGTTAAGTCTCAGTCAGAGTCACAGAGAGACTACTCTTCTTTATCCGTCTCTGGCCTCTGGTTTGGGGCTGGCCTCTGGTTTGGGGCTGGCCTCTGGTTTGGGGCTGGCCTCTGGTTTGGGGCTGGCCTCTGGTTTGGGGCTGGCCTCTGGTTTGGGGCTGGCCTCTGGTTTGGGGCTCGCCTCTGCTCCATCGTTTTCACTTTGCTTCTTCTTCTGGTCCTCGCTGTCGATCCGAGCGTGTTCCTTCTTCACCAGCTCCTCCAGCTCAGACTGAACACAACAATGGGACTTTATAATGATAATAATAATAAGGATAATGATATTAATGATCATAATGATAATTAACCGCCGCGGCCCGGGCTATTGCAGAGGCACAAACCGGGACTGGGAGGAGTTCGGAGAGTCCATGAAGCAGGACTATCGGTCGGCCTTTAAGAGATTCTGGCAAACCGTCCGGCGCCTCAGGAGGGAGAAGCAGTTCTTTGCCAACACCGTGTATGGGGCGGGTGGAGAGCTGCTGAACTCGACTGGGGATATTGTCGGGCGGTGGACGGAATACTTCGAGGTTCTCCTCAATCCCCCTGTCCCGTCCTCCATCCCGGAGGCAGAGGCAGAGGATGTTGGGGCGGATACTTCCATCTCCCTGGCGGAGGTCACCAAGGTGGTTGGCAACCTCCTTGGTGGCAAGGCGCCGGGAGTGGATGAGATCCGTCCTGACTATCTAAAGTCTCTGGATGTTGTAGGACTGTCTTGGCTGACACGTCTCTGCAATATCACCTGGCAATCGGGGGCGGTGCCAATGGAGTGGCAGACCGAGGTGGTCCCTCTCAGACCGAGGTGGTGGTCCCTCTCAGACCGGGGTGGTGGTCCCTCTCTACAAGAAGTGGGAACGGAGGGTGTGTTCCAATTATTGTGGGATCACACTCCTCAGCCTCCCCGGTAAGGTCTACTCCAAGGTACTGGAGAGGAGGCTACGACCGATGGTCGAATCTCAGATCCAGGAGGAGCAGTGTGGTTTTCGTCTCGGCCGTGGAACACTGGACCAGCTCTCAACTCTGAAAGGCAAAGCTCTCGATTTACCGGTCAATCTTCGTTCCCTTCCTCACCTATGGTCATGAGGGAGCAGCGTCTGCAGTCAGAGCTGTATCAGACTGTTGTGGTAAAGAGGGAGCAGCGTCTGCAGTCAGAGCTCCTTCACCTCTGGCCCTAATCTTTGAGCCTGTAGGACTTACCTTCCATCCGAGCAGATCTGCCAGAGCCAAGCAGCCGTCGTCACAGGAGCTGATGTGAGCCACGTCTCTGAACACAAACACATTTGGATTCTTTAAAACCTTCTCTTTTCACTAAAACATAAGTTTCACTTTCAGGATACACAGACGTAAGACCAGGAACAAGCTAAAGCTAGGACCAGAACTCTTTAAATTCCATTTGTGCCTGAGTCTGGAGCCAATGAAAATCTAATATATTTCAGGACCAGGAAGTGTTTCTTGTCCTCACTTCAGATCGAGCCGATCATTTGTAAATATAAAGTAAATATAATGATGCAGACGTGTAACTGTTAAAGTAGTTTGTGTATAAATCTCCTGTGTATGTGTAAACCATGTGTAAACTATAAGTATAGGTAAAATATGATGAATATTACAATCTATGCTCAAATCATTGAATAAATTAAATAAATAAATCAAATAAATACTTTTCTTGAGTGCTTTGATTTGACATCCGCACATTCAAAACGACTTCCTGTATTTCAAACATATTATATTAAAACTTACAAACTCATTGGTCGTCTGTAAAGTTATATTTCATATCAAAATAACATCAAAGTCAAACCCGGACTGCAGTTTGGGCTGAGACTAAAGGAACTAGATCAATATGAAAAGAAAAGTACATTTATCATTCTCTTCGATGAAATTAAACTAAGATTAATTTCTTCATCAGAGATTCCAGATGAAACTCCTTGAGGATCAGAGGGTTCCAGATAAACCACTTCCTGAGGATCAGAGGGTTCTAGATGAAACTCCCTGAGGATCAGAGGGTTCCAGATTCTCCTTTAAATCAGTCTTCACCTGTAAGCTTTATCTGAGTCGAAGTCCATCCCTCCTCCAAACACCCCCAACATGGGCTCCACCTGCAGACACAAACTGTAAGTTACCCCTCCTCCAAACACCCCCAACATAGGCTCCCCCTGCAGACACCAACTGTAAGTTACCCCCCCTCCAAACACCCCCAACATGGGCTCCACCCGCAGACACCAACTGTAAGTTACCCCTCCTCCAAACACCCCCAACATGGGCTCCACCTGCAGACACCAACTGTAAGTTAACCCTCCTCCAAACACCCCCAACATGGGCTCCACCCGCAGACACCAACTGTAAGTTAACCCTCCTCCAAACACCCCCAACATGGGCTCCACCTGCAGACACCAACTGTGAGTTACCCCTCCTCCAAACACCCCCAACATGGGCTCCACCTGCTGACACCAACCGTAAGTTACTTTTACCTAACCCTAACTCATAAGGCTCAAAGCTCTTATGTTATTCTCAGAGACTTTTACAAAACTCAAATGGCTTTAAGATAAAATCACATAGAATCCATTAAAACATGAAGACAATAAAACTGTTAAGGAGCCGTATGAAAAAATGTGGCCAAAAGTGGTACTGCAGCCTCTCCCTGACTCAGGTTGCCAGATTGAACTAATTTAGAAATTCAAATGAGGACAGATTAGGGCCCTTTAATAATGACAGATTAGGGCCCTTTAACGATGACAGATTAGGGCCCTTTAATGATGACTGGACATGAAAATCTTACATATTGCTTCTTTAAAAAAAGAGTGTTAAAACTGTTAAAAGCCAGACTGAATAAATTAGTTTTGAGCCTCAATTTAAAAAAGTAATCAGTGAAAACTCGCGGATTAGGGGCGTGTTCCAGAGTCTGGTCCAGGACTGAGAAGGACCGGTCCCAGTGTATAGACCTGGTCCGGGGTTCTGAGCTGAGGACCTCAAGGATCTGAGTCATGGACCATCGAGAGTCCGGACACGAACAGAGAGTGAGACCCTCGAGATACTATTTTAAAATCAACCCAAAACTAAACTGGAGCCACTGTAGTGAAAACAGGACCGGGGTGATGTGTTCACGTCTGGGTTTGTTAAAAAGCACATTTTGCACAAACTGAAGAGGATTAAAGGAACTCCAACATAAAGAAGATTACAGTCATTAATCATAACGGATGTTTTTGACCTGTCCAGTTTTCTCCATGTTGATTAGTAATCGAGGGCAGTTTCTGGAGACTCTGAGTGAAACACAAAACAAAAAGTTAGTGTAAAAGTGTAAAGTCGGAGATGCAGAGACGGGACAGTACTTGCTGACGAGACTCGCAAACGGTTGGACTTTTAGAGACGTTCCCATGACGATCAGAAGGTCACAGCGAGGAAAGTCCTGTGGGAACGTGTTGTTCAGACTAAAACATCATGAAGTATGTACACTATAGTTATTACCATCTTCATGGACGTGAAAAACCGCACAGGCAGGTTCTCTCCAAAGAAAACTATATCTGAAAGATAAGATAGAAATCTTTTATCTGTCCCACAGTGGGGAAATGTCAGCGCACAGACAGGACAGTGGGCAGACAGGACAGTGGGCAGACAGAGCGCAGAGTATACACTTTGCTGTAAACGCTTCAATAACTATATCTTTATATAGTGTAAAGTTACATACTGTACATACAGGGTTAGGGTGAGTAGATAAAGTGACATTCAGTGATAGGCTGAAGTTGCAGTATTTACTTGTGAAATAGTGTCTTAGGAAACATAGTATGGTGAAAGAAAAATGGCACACAAAGCATAGTCCTGCACTGTCTCTATGCCACCACCAGAGGGAGCTGTAGAATCAGCTTACATCCCACCATCAAACATAACCCGGATAAAAAACAAAGTTCTTACCCGGCTTCACTAAACTTTGGCACTTTTCACATCTGGGAATGTCGTCAGAAAAGATCTTCTCTGTTGGAAAGACAGACTTTACAAACACAGGTTGAGTTTGATCGTTGTAGAGACGAGAGAGACCCACCCTTCATCCAGTCCAGGTTGTACTCTCTCCTGCAGCAGAAGCTCACACAGTGCGACGTGTAGAAGGTTCCATGGGCTTCTATCAGGTCCTCTCCCTCCAGACCAGCCACACGCTCCAGAGTGTCAATGTTCTGGCACACAAATGTAGAGAAATGTGCAGAAATGTAGAGAAATGTGCAGAAATGTGCAGAAATGTAGAGAAATGTGCAGAAACGTAGAGAAATGTGCAGAAATGTAGAGAAATATGCAGAAGATGCTAAAATACCATGAAACTGCACACTGCAAAAAATGATGATAAATAAGTCCAAAGTCTGACACATTCTGCGTTAAACTACATTCTCCAACGGGACTGAGTCTGGTCTGGTCTGGGTTATTACCAGAGTCTGGTCTGGTCTGGTCTGGTCCGAGTCTGGTCCGAGTCTGGTCCGAGTCTGGTCCGAGTCTGGTCCGAGTCTGGCCCGAGTCTGGCCCGAGTCTGGTCCGAGTCTGATCCGAGTCTGATCCGAGTCTGATCCGAGTCTGGCCTGGTCTGGCCTGGTCTGACTGATACCTGAGTGTAGCAGCGCCTCAAAAGGCCCTTGTCTTTGAGCAGTTTGATGAAGTAGTGGCAGATCGTCGGCTGTGGGTTAAAGATGTAGTTTTATTATGAGTTTCATTGATTTTAAATCTTTGAAAGTTAGAATGACCTTAAACTGTCCGGGATACAGCTCTTTGGCCAACGCAAAAAATGGTTCGGGATGTTGCTGAAAATATGAAAAACCGTATAAAGGGTTTGGGTAAAGGGGAGCCTCTGTCACACCGAGCCAACCTTAAAGTAGTCGATCTGGAAGATGGCCTCTGGGTACGGCAGGCTGTATTTCTGGAGATTGGCGTAAAGGCCTGTTCCGGGAGAACGGAAATCTGGAATTCCGGCCGCTGTTCACAGAAAAACACAATTGATATTAAAAACTATTTATGCTGAATGTGTGGAAGGAAACAGGGAAAGTTGTACTCACAGGTGGATATCCCGGCTCCAGCCATGCAGATGATGTTTTTACCTAAACACACAAAACACAGGCCGTAATGTTGGCGTTGCTATGGAAACCTTTAAACATGGCAGCCGCATTTCTTTTCTCTGTTATGTTGTTTTGTCCACATATGCATCAGGCCAATGTGTCGTGTGTCTCTCTATGAACTGATGTCCTTGTGCTTCCTCCACATAACAAAGGATCAGGACCTTCCTCTTCATCACAGTTTCATAGTGTCCAAACAAAGGAAAGGACTATGGAGCAATCAGAAGCTTACATTTCCCGCTCTGGATGTATTTTGCGACTCCGTCCAGTGCCAACTCGTCCAGAGCTTTCTCCCCAGAACCTGCTCCGAAACCCAAAGCGCTGGAGAAGAGGTTACGCAGGAAATCCACTGAAAGAACAAACCGAGAAAAACAAACCATCCAGAGTTTAGGCCCACGGTGTTGAAGGTGTTGAAGGTGTGAACTCTGGTATGACTCACTTTCTCCGGGCGTCTCCTCTTCGCTGCTGTCGTCCTCAGAGTCTTCCTGCAAAATGAATCATGACAATAATGAACAAGATTTAACAAAAGTTCTTGGATTAATATAAATAGTAAAAAGTGATGTCTAAGCAGCAGTAACAAAGTATAAACATTATTATACTGTTTTATTTAAAGCCTTGAATGGAAAGACGACAATTCCACCTGTAGCCACACCTGCTGGTGAAAGCTTCTGTCAGATCTAGCACAGCAGAGCTAAGCAGAACAGAGCCTGGTTAGTACTGTGATGAGAGACCATTGGGAATATCAGGAGCCATAGTGGGGCAGATGAAAACTGCAGTAATGTTTGAATGAAGGTGATGCCTCAGGCAGGGCAGCTGTGGCTACAGTAAAAGTGTAGCAGCACTGAGTACGGAGGGAATTTGCAAATATGACTCGACCCCAAAAAAATTCTAACAAAAGGTTTCTCAGTGGTTTACAGTAGTATCAGATCTACTTAAAAACATATTAAAAGTTTACCAAAGTTTGACTCCAAAAAAGGTCCTTAAAATGACCATTATTCCTTTGTATTTCTCCTAGACCAGGAATTTTGGTGATACCTGTTTTGGTCATATAATATTCTAATTAGTATATTTGCATGAAAAATAAGTGATTACAAGTACAATTAAATATTAAAGCAATGTTATAAGCATATGTATGCGAAAAAGAAGTACAATTTGCCTTAAGTAATCCCATATTTCTCTTATCATATCATTTTTCCTAGTGTTGGTGGTTTCTGTGGTTCATAACCATTATTTTGACTCCAATAAAGAATAAATTCATTAGAACTGTGTGGTACTGTAAAATTAGTCAAAAGAGGGTAGCGGCGTGAAGGCTCAGTACCGCTAACCCCTTGTGTTTTATTATATGATTATTTTATTAATTTTATAATGTGTTTTGTTTCGTTTTTTATACTTCTTTATTATTTTCTTATTTATACATATCTTTTTCTAATTTCTTCAGTTGTTTCCTCTTATTCAAAGAGCATGTGAGCAGATTATCTTAATGTTTAGTTTTAGCATATTTGTTGAGCCACTTTTGAATTGAATGAAAGTCCTCTCGTAGATACATTTGCAGTTGTGGTAAGTTTGCACCTGACAGAGGACATCAGCATATAGATGAGTCTGGCAATGACTACACACTTGGGATAGGTCATTGATGAAGATAGAAAATAAATGAGGTCCAAGGGTTGAGCCCTGCGGTACCCCTTTTTCCATGATAGACAGACCAGTTTGAGAACCATTAAAAACTACAAACTGTCGTCTATTGTGAAGATAAGCATTGAACCGAGAGCATTTCTACTGAGACCTATTGAGTAAAGTTTGTCCAAAAGTAAATAGTGGTCTACTAGATCAAAAGCCTTGGAGAGATCAAGAAAAATGCCACCTGTGTACTGGTTATTATCAAAAGAAGGGAAAAGGAAGGGACAACATCCTCAGCCTCTGCCTCCGTTTTGGAGGCGGATACTTCCATCTCCCTGGCTGAGGTCACCAAGGTGGCTGAGGTCACCAAGCCTTGCCACCATGGTGGCAAGGCTCCGGGAGTGGATGAGATCAGTTCTGACAATCTAAAGTCTCTGGATGTTGTAGGACTGTCTTGGCTGACACGTCTCTGCAACATCGCGTGGCGCTCGGGGGCAGTACCAATAGAGTGGCAGACCGGGGTGGTGGTCCCTCTCTACAAAAAGCGGGACCGGACCGGATGGTGTGTTCCAATTATTGTGGGATCACAGTCCTCAGCCTCCCCGGTAAGGTCTACTCCAAGGTACTGGAGAGGAGACTTCGACCGATGGTCGAATCTTGAATTCAGGAGGAGCAGTGTGGTTTTCGTCCCGGCCGCGGAACACTGGACCAGCTCTATAATCTCCATCGGATACTCAAGGGTTCATGGGAGTTCGCCCAACCTGTCCACATGTGCTTTGTGGATTTGGAGAAGGCGTTCGACCGTGTTCCCCGGGGTGTCCTTTGGGGGGGGTTCTCCGGGAGTACGGGGTCCGGGGTCCTCTGCTGAGAGCCATCCGGTCCCTGTATGACCGGAGCAAGAGCTGCGTTCGCATTGCCGGCAGTAAGTCAGACCTGTTCCCGGTGCATGTTGGCCTCCGCCAAAGCTGCCCTTTGTCACCGGTTCTGTTCACCGTTTTTATGGACAGAAGGGGGTCAGGTTCGGAGACCACAGGATTTCACAGGAGAATGGTTCACCCCAAAGATAAAACTAGAGGTGCACCGATCAGGATTTTTTTGGCCGATCACGATCATTAAAATTTTGATCGGCCGATACCGATCATGGCCGATCCGATCAATTATTGAAAATATTAGTGATAAATGAATAGGACTAGTTATTCACTTTATAACTAATATTTCAAAACCATCAAGATACTAGGTAGTATAAATAAAATGCCTATGGGGTACTCAAGACAAAAAGGTTGGGAACCACATTTCTAAACTGATTAAGAAGAGATAGTTAAGGCAATGTTTTTTCTTCAGTAATATTAGCATCTCCGCATTTGCAGGGGTTTATTACGTTTATCCTCCTGAATAGTCCCGCTGCGCTAAACTCTCACTGTCTGCACTTGTGCATGGAGCGCAGAGGAAAGACGCTGCTTTGGCCAAAGGAGGGAAGCGCCTTTAATTTTCCTTCCAATAAACAAGCGGCTGTCTGCTCCGAGGCGCAACTACGTAGTAAGTAACGCTAAATCTGCGACTCTGTAGGACTGTCTGTACTACCACTACACTCATCTTAATTCAACATTTCTGTGAACATAACATGCAAACTCCTGACTCGGGGTGTTTCTGCCTGACGGCAGTGCCTCGCTGCTGAGTGTGTTCAGTGTGTGTGCTGTGTCTGCGCTGTGTGACTCTGGCTCATTATTATAATAGATCCATGCTCTGGAGTGTCAATGTGAGAATATACAGTTTGATAAAGCTGCGGCAGGCAGACATCAGTCAGATATCTCCGTGATGGCATATTGAAGCAGTGGACATGAGCTGTTTGAACCCAGCGCTTTCCGAAACAGACAAGTGCTGGTGACAGAGGGGAATAAATTAACTTAACTTTCGTGCATATTTTGTGTTCTTTCTTACGTCATTACTGTGTGGTTGTTGCCGCTGTAGAATCTCCGTTACTTATAGCTGCATGAGTTGCTTGTTTACGCATTTTTGACGAGAGAAAGTAACTTGTGCGCATGAATCCTCAATGTCATCTGATCGGTCGTTTTGATCGGCACATTTCACCGATCACCGATCACACAAATTAAGCCGTGATCGGACGATTATAATCGGCTACCGATCGATCGGTGCAACTCTAGATAAAACCTACAGTAATATCACAAAATCATGTATTACATAAGTATGTAATAATCTCAGTGCAATTTTGACAAGTCCAATTGATTCATAGACCCAGAAAACATGGGGTTAGACACCAAGATTAGTTGGCTAGGTCAAATAATGAATGAGTTAAGATATGTTAAGGGCTTCATGCCCATCTTGGACGCCATCTTGAAAATTACACTTTTCTAGTGGTCAAACTTTGGTAAACTTTTAGTATGTTATTAAGGAGACCTAACTCTACAAAAAACATCTGAGAAACCTTTTGTTAGAATTGTTTTGGGGTTAGGTGGTTTTTTTCATATATGCAGCCGCCTAATTATATAAATCCAATGCATTAATAAATTAAACTGGAATATAAAAGGACCACATAGTTTCACCTTTTAGCACAAACCTAGAATCTGAAAAAATATGAGTAAAGGTGTTGTAAACCTGAGGATATGGAACATGTCTCTTACATGTTAAATAAGTGTCTTTCAGTTACTGTTGTGTGGTCAGGGAAGTCTGTGTCTGCTTAGACTGCTGCCCCCGCGACCCGGCAACGGAGGAAGCGGAAGAAAATGGATGGATAGCATTTCAGTTACATTATATGCAACATTCCACTTGCATTTGGTTCATTATAGATGCACAGTCTAGTTTAAGATAGTAATTAGATGTAATTTTGTATCCATATCCTGTTCTGATGAATCTCATTTTAATCAGTTTGTCCTTTTTTGTCCTTTTTTCTCCGTTCCCTTAAGACGCATTTAAAGAGTTTTAGCTCTATCAGATATTCGCTCACTGTTATCACATCTTGCTCACTGAAAATAATCTTTTCTTAGAGATAAAATATGCAAGTATAATAAACCTGTGATGGGTCCTCTTCCTCTTCTTTGCTTCTTACAGGTTCTAGAAATAACACATGAAAACATGACAAGGGAACTCAAACTACAATCATCGTTACTATGATGCTAGCAGCGGGGCTAATATGATGCTAACAGCCGGGCTAATGTGACAGCGCGAAATGAATCCAAAAACATGACAGCTGTTGTACCTTGTGCATCAGACATTTGTATAAATTACTCCTTTTCTACAGGTGCACGAGGTGTGAGGTGGACCTGATTCAAGAATTTGTATTTTAAGATCCCAACTGATCCGTGTTGTTGTAGTCCTCACACAAACCCATCCGCCGTGTCGCGACCTAGTTCCGCGATGATAGTTCCTATGTCGAGTTAGAAAGTAGTAATAGTGTCATGAATGGAGATAAATAACGTTAGTAGTCAAATAAAACCAGGAATGTATTTTTCTTGGTTCCTGTAATTTGTCGATTAAAAATGGGAGAAGTAGCTTTTTCCCAGATCCATGCCTTTCCCCCATAATGCTCTTTCTAAATTGAGCACAGATGATAGATGTATGTAATTATGAATCATTATATATATATGGACAAGACTAGCACTGCAATAATGACAAGAGATAACGAGATCTAAATTTCTCACACACTGAGAGAGTGCATACCAGAGTGGTCACACACACACACACAGTACTTACCATAGCAGTGGTCACACACAGTACATACTAAAGCAGAGTGGTCAGTCTCTCAGTGGATTATGTGTCAGAGATTTCAAAGTTCCAGATTACAGCAACACAATCACATGAACCATATGCTCCAAAACAATACAGACTATAATGTATGTATTTATTTATTACATGTGTTCTCAAAGATGCAATATTTACATATTTAAATGAACTAAAACATGTGTAGGTTCAAACCTCTCCGAGTACATTAACAGTATGTATTATAATTTTATTATAGTTTCACTTTAAAACATAACATTTATTGGTTTATGGCCTTTTTTCAAACAGTGAAAAGTCGGTACTGAAAGACTTCATGTCTTCCTGAATCTCAAAATAAATATTGCACACGCTGCAAATACATATTTGAACATGTTAAATGTATTATGAGCAGATTAACAGATTATTCACTAATGACTCCAAAGTTTTAACACTCAAAAACTCAAACTTCAGATGTGTTTGTGAAAAGCAGTTTTCAGATTTTTACAGTTTTTTAATTGTGGAAAAATACAAAATAATGTGTCACTCTGCTTTCTCTTTGGTTACTTCAAAATAAGATCGTTGTAGAACATGATACTTTATTGATCCTGTAGCAGCAGAAACTCATCCAAAAGTTCAAGCCTCTTTACAATAACTAACTTGAAAGGAGAGAAACTAAAGCGTATGTTACTGATCATGAAAGTGATCTTGTCCCTTAGATAACAACAAAACATTGGAATATGTGTTATTTTTCAAGACTTTACAAAATGAAAGTATATTTTCCAGATGAGGTGGAGCAGCTGTGACTGTGCTGCTTTGAGAGGACTGAAGGATGAATGTATCTATTTTGTCATTTCATTAGATTTTATATTGTATTTGAAGTTTAGTTTGCAGTTTGTCAGTATTCCCACAGTTCTCCTCTCTCTCTACGACTCCTCTCTCTCTCTCTCTCTGCGTCTCCTCTCGCTCTCTCTGCGTCTCCTCTCGCTCTCTCTGCGTCTCCTCTCGCTCTCTCTGCGTCTCCTCTCGCTCTCTCTGCTTCTCCTCTCTGTGGTTAATTAAACTCATAACCATCTGATGTTATGTCACAGTTTGGCAGCATCTCCTCCAGAAGAATGACCAGCAGCCCTGGGTTCGAGATCCCAGGAAGTGACGACACGTTCAGCTTCTTTAAACCCCTGAAAACAAAACAGGATCATAACATGGTTATAACATGAAAATAAAATGGTTATAACATGATAATAACGTGATCATAACATGGTTATAACATGATAATAACATGATCCAATACATGTTGATAAATGTCACACATGTTGATAAATGTCATACATGTTGATAAATGTGATACATGTGATTAATGTCATACATGTTGATACATGTCACACATGTTGATAAATGTCATACATGTGATTAAAGTGGACATATCGTGTTTTCAAATAATAGATTTTTACATCTAAATCATTAATTTGTGACCTATATAAAGCGTAACTGCAATGCCTGGGTCTGAGTCTCATTATTTGTAGCTCCACGGGCCTTTCTTCTACACCTGTTCTGAGGTGCGTCTGAGAGCAACCTGTTTTGGTACTGTCTCTTTAAATGCAAATGAGGCGCTTTTGACCACGCCCCCATCCAGGTGACACAGGTTCAACTCCACCCTGAGCGGCCATTTTTGTAGTTACTAAGCACAGATACAATTATCTCATAGAAACTTCTCATCACATCGCAAACATGAAGCAGTCCTTCCTTATTGACTGAAAGCAAATGTTAAGTTTCATTCTTAGTCCAGTCTTATTATCGACTCTTCTCTTTTTAGCTTTGGGATCCATGCGCACAGTCTATGATGCTCACACGCCGGTTTGTTTACAACACCGGCCGCCTGGCGCGGGCCTACGTCGCAGGATATGACACACTACGTTGACAGAAATGTTTAAATTGAATATCACATATGCACAATTTTACAGCATTTAAAACCGTTAAGAACGTTTTTCCTTCTACAGAAGGAAAGAGACGCATGCGCCTCCAGAGCCGCAGGTTGCCGACTCCTAGTTTATACAGTATGTGGAAGCAAATACTGTAGAGGATCAGGATGTCTGCAGTTTCAACAATAAAATAAAGTACAATAGTCTACATTAAACAGAGTAATAGACATGTCTCAGAGTGAGGGAGGTGGACACAGACAACACTATTGTTTGTTACAGGGATGAGAATTGGTCAAAAAAGACTGAAATGCATATTGTCAGCCATTTGCTGGCTCTAAATCTGTTTAATGTGTTCACAACATATTACTTTTGGGCTCAAACATGAACTTTTAATGCAATGCAAAATTTAGGTATCAGAGCTTTATTTAGGGCGTTTAATCGCGCTTCGAGAGGAGAGGGGAGACGCGGACTGTTTCCTGCAGCAGTGTATTTATTGGGTGCACAGATTACTCAAAGACACGCATGGTCCTGTGCGCGTTTATGGGGTTGGGTACATGGCCACGTTGAGGCTGCGCGCTCAGCCACAACACGGTGGAGCGGCTGCAAGCGGTTGGTTGCTCACAGCCTCTCGCAGCCGCTGGACGCGGAAGCTGCTCATTACAAAGCGGCCGCAGATGCCCCGGAACACTGCGGCCGCCGAGGTGGCGGAATCCCGTTCGAGTACATACAGCAGGTGCCCCGCTCGAACAATTCTCAACGGATTTACACTTTTCACAAACATGTGTTTTGTATGAGGCAGACAGACCGGCCCAAATATGGGCATTGACCGTTTGGGCATTGCCCGGTACGCCCAATGGCCAGTCCAGCCCTGTTCGCTGGCATCCTTGAGCTTGGACTACAAATTCGAAGTGATGCGCAGTAGAGGAGGGCTGAGCCGAAGTGTTTTGTTAGACGCCCATGCCCTTATATAGCAGTCTCGCAGCAAATACTGTGACGTAATAATTCTAAACACGTAATAGAGAATGGAAAAATCAGAACGGGTTGAAAAATCTTACCTAAACAGAATATGAAGTGTTCTCTGCAACCCATGAAGAGACTGATTTCAACTTTTTTGCACTTCTAGAGGCTCCAACTACACAGCATAAGGCATTTAAGGCTTTTTTCATGATATGTCCCCTTTAATGTCATACATGTTGATAAATGTCACACATGTTGATAAATGTCACACATGTTGATAAATGTCATACATGTTGATAAATGTCATACATGTGATAAATGTCATACATGTTGATAAACGTCATACATGATACATGTTGATAAATGTCACACATGTTGTAGAGTTTCGTTCGGGCCTGAAAAATCAAGCCCGACCCGGCCCGCTAATACTAAGCCTGAGCCCGTATAAGCCCGACCAATTAACGCTGTATAAGAGGCCCGAGCCCGACAGAAGCCCGACGCATATGATTTCCCTTGTTGTGCGCACTCACCTTCCAATTGCAAGTTTAGCCACTTCTGAATTTGTTTTGTTCCTCCACTCGATCCATTTCTTTTAATGTTCCTTGTGTTCGCTGTTGACCATAGAATTCAACAGGAAAAACAGGGATGGTGCGTTCACGGTCTGCTGCGGCTGTAGGACACGCCGGTTACAGTGTTATAAACATATTAACTTTTTAAATACATTTAAAAATATATATAATTTATTTAATATAAAATATATTTCTGACCAATATATCAATAATCGTCATATCGTGATAAAATTGTTATCGTGATAAATCGTGAGCTTTGTATCGTGTATCGTATCGTATCGTGAGGTACCCTTATGGGGCTTTTAGACCGCCAACGCTAAAACGTGGAAGCCCCGCTCACCAGACGCGCATTCTCTAGTTTTCAGACGCAGAGGACTTCACACCAGAACGTCCTGACGCGAGCCGGAAGTACCGGAAGTAGCCGGCCGGCTCTAATGCTAACAGAGCTATGCTAGCGGCTTCTTGTGTACAGATCTTCTCCAATATGCAGCTTTGCAGCGTGTCTTTGCTCACATACATTCCACGGGCTTTATACAACAGTAATATGTGTTCACGGAGGTGCGCCATACGTTTTTTCATATTATTAAACGGAATTTCCGCATTGGCAAACACACTCGAAGCCGTCGCATAAGGTCACGGGAGCATGACAACGCATATTTTCACAAGCACAGAGTCCCCCATTGTCAACCCTGGTTTGAGTTCTGGTGAAGTCTGGTGTGGGTCCTGTTTTGGCTGTTTACGAGTATTTTCAGTCTGCTCGCTCAGTCTGCTAATGTCCCCGTGACCACTTTGCTGCTCTCTGATTGGTTGTCGCACAAACGTCCCAAGGAAAGGATGAGCAGAATCCATCTCCTGTGGGCGTCGATTTTTCGCTCCTGCTCCTCCCTTTTCACTTTCCCGCCAAGTCCGTGCGTCATTATTGAACATTCCGTTCGTGCGTGCCGAGAGGTCCGTGCGTTGTGACGGTCGAACGCGCGCCACCATAGACTTTGCAATGAAACCCGACGCAACGCATGATTCGGTCTGAAAGCACCATCAGGTTCCCACCCCTACTCTTGACAGCTGGAACAAGTTTCAGCCCCTCTGTCTGTCAATCCTGTCTATTGAAGATTTGGAAGACGTATATATCTTTGGCATTTTGGTGGTGGGGATCCTCCTTTTTGGGTTTGGAGCGGTCCTTTTATACCGCATGGCGGTTCACAAGATTCACGAGCTGCTGGCAAACAAAATTGATGGGATGTACAAGGAGTTAAGCCGCGTCGTGGTTGAGAGTGCGGTGTCTGGACAAAGGAGAGTTGTGTTAGTGGAACAGTTGATAAAAGACCTCGCAACTCGTTCACTCGAAGGGCATAAAACACTAGAGATGAGACTGAATGACATTATTTGCCAGTCATGAACTCTCTGACCCGGCATGGATTTGCCCTTGTGTACGGAGGTCTGAGGGCGCCGCAATTCGGTTTAATTGGATTCAATAGTATATCTGCCTGCTTTTGACTGCTACATTGCATATAATATTGTCCCTCTCAGGCGATGTGTTGTAAGATTGAAAATTATCTCACATTCCTCTGGCAAGGCCGAAGATAACATGGACCCCTACAATCTACAACAAACCTCACACTCTGCAGTCTCCAGCTCGGATCCCGTTCCCCCGCCTCCCTCTACCTATCCATCTTCTCCTTCCCTCCTATCCACTCCTCATTGTCTTTCCGGCTCACCCCCTCCCTGACCCTGCCCCCCTCTGATAGCCACATTGGGCCGGCAGTCGGAGGTGCTCATCCCGAGAAAAAAATCTGTGGTTTATACAAAGCACAATGGGCCTCATTCACGAACGGTTCTTACGAACAAATTTGTGCGTAAATCCTACTTACGAGGATTTTACGAAGAATGTGGCATTCACGAATATTTCTCGTAAGCAGAATTTCTCTTGGGTAAGTACAAATCCTACGAGTGCTCAGGAGCACTCTTACGCACATTCAGTGCCGACATGTTCGCACGCTCGTGTTGTGAAGTTCAATAAAATACAACATTACAGTGATATGTTTGCCATATTGATCCATCCATCCATCCATTTTCTACCCTTTAATCCATTTCTGGGTCAGGGGGGTGGCAATCAGAGATGCCACCCAAGTCTCATAGCACCAGCCCCTCACTGACCCTCTGCAGGTGGTGAGTCCACAGGAGGACAGCTGCTCTCTGAGTGTGAGCATAGCCTTGATCTTTCAGTGGGGGCTTTTGGGCAAAGTGGGGTTAAGTGTCTTGCCCAAGGACACAACGACAGCAGTCATCAGTGGGAGTCGGTGGAGAAGGTGCAGAGGTGGGAATTGAACCCACAACCTTCTGGCCTTAAGGCCAATGCTCTACCAACTGAGCTACTGTCGCCCCATTGATGTAAGTATTTATTTATTTCATTGTTTATGGTAATTTAGTCATTTTTTAAATTTATTTGTAAACTTAATGCGCCAACGCTTTATCAAATACATTGGAAATCATGCCGTTAGTGACCCCATCCTATTGATAGGGGAGATTTATCTCCCCTATCAAGGACCGCGCTGGACTCTCCATATGGTCTCTCCAGTCGCTGCGGTCTCTCTTCGGTCCGCGCTGGTCTCATGCGGTCCGCGCTGGTCTCAGTCTATGCGGTCTCTCTTCCTTCCGCGCTGGTCTCAGTCTATGCGGTCTCTCCTCGGTCCGCGCTGGTCTCAGTCTATGCGGTCTCCCTCGGTCCGCGCTGGTCTCAGTCTATGCGGTCTCTCTTCGGTCAGCGCTGGTCTATGCGGTGTCTCCTCGGTCCGCTCTGGTTTCTGTGTGCTGGTCTCTCCAGTCTCTCCTCGGGTCTGCATTGGTCTCAGCGCTGGATCTCCTCTCAGGGTCCAAAATACTTTTAGATTAATCTCATAACATTTTGAGATTCATTTTTAAATTAAAACATAATATATTTTTTAATTAATCTCATAACATTTTGAGATTAATCTCATAATTTTGCTAGTTCGACTTTATTCTCAAAATATTTAGACTTTTAAGTCAACATTTTATGACTTTATTCCTAGTCTGGCAAAAGAAGAAAAAAGGGTGACTCTTTTGCTCCGTGTAACTCTTTGCTTTAGGCCTGTTGCTGTTTCCTCTGGCGTCTGCACACGGCCCTGCAGTCCCTTATATGGGCATTAATGGGCGGTTACCTATGCTAAGTACCTATGCTAATGAAGCACCGGGCACGCGCGCTCTACTTACGAGGAGTTGGCATTCATCAATCTGAGAGAACAGCTGCGAACAATTCAGCGGCTTACGAGCGCGTTGATGAATCCCACGTAGGGCTTCTTAGAAATCTACTGAAGAACGACTTGAGAAGAAATTTAAGACGTTTCTTACGAAGTTATTCGTGAATGAGGCCCAATGTGTCTATCCAATTGTCTGTGAAACTGTACGTTATCGCTCTCTGCTGTTTCTTGCTTGCACACAGCGCCGCAAATGGCGAAGTGGCACGCTCTCTGCCAAAACAATTTCCAAGTGGTAACTTTTGTTTGTTACTTATGTGGCAATAAAAATGATTCTGATTCTGATTCTGACATGTTGATAAATGTCATACATGTTGATAAATGTCACACATGTTGATAAATATTATACATTATGATAAATGTCATACATGTTGACATTCTTCCCCTTAATCCATTTCTGGGTCGGGGGGTGGCAGTCAGAGCTGCACCCAGTACACAGGGCACCAGCTATGTGTACTGGGTGGCATAGCTGGTGCTCATAGCATAGTTTCAGATTCCACAATCAGTATTCTGTGGGTCTTGAACATGTGATGGTGATATTCTGTGGGTCTTGAACATGTGATGGTGATATTCTGTGGGTCTTGAACATATGATGGTGATATTCTGTGGGTCTTGAACTAATGAGTGAGGTGATATTCTGTGGGTCTTGAACATGTGATGGTGATATTCTGTGGGTCTTGAACATGTGATGGTGATATTCTGTGGGTCTTGAACATATGATGGTGATAGACTAATTGTTGGTGGGATAAAGAATAGTGGTCGTACTTGAGGTTCCTGAGCGCGGCTAAACCTCCTGTGGTGATCCGGGGACAGTGGGAAATGTCCAACACTTCCAGAGAATCTTGAAAAACATGAAGTCTGGACAGAAACCAGTCGTCCACTTCAGGACAGGCCTTTAAAGACAGGGTCCGTAAAGACGTCTGCTCCTCTGGAAACACAAACGCTGGTTACAGTCAGAACACAAACGCTGGTTACAGTCAGAACACAAACGCTGGTTACAGTCAGAACACAAACGCTGGTTACAGTCTGAACACAAACGCTGGTTACAGTCTGAACACAAACGCTGGTTACAGTCAGAACACAAACACTGGTTACAATCTGAACACAAACGCTGGTTACAGTCAGAACACAAACGCTGGTTACAGTCTGAACACAAACGCTGGTTACAGTCTGAACACAACCACTGGTTACAGTCTAAACACAAACGTTTGTTACAGTCTGAACACGCTGGTTACAGTCTAAACACAAATGCTGGTTATAGTCTGAACACAAACGCTGGTTACAGTCTGAACACAAACGCTGGTTACAGTCTGAACACAAACGCTGGTTACAGTCTGAACACAAACGCTGGTTACAGTCTGAACACAAACGCTGGTTACAGTCTAAACACAAACGCTGGTTCCAGTCTGAACACAAACGCTGGTTCCAGTCTAAACACAAACACTGGTTACAGTCTGAACACAAACGCTGGTTACAGTCTGAACACAAACGTTGGTTACAGTCTGAACACGTTGGTTACAGTCTAAACACAAATGCTGGTTATAGTCTGAACACAAACGCTGGTTACAGTCTAAACACAAACACTGGTTACAGTCTGAACACAAACGCTGGTTACAGTCTGAACACAAACGCTGGTTACAGTCTTATACACTGAGATTACACGTGGAACACAAATAATTTGATAAAGTTCCATCAATTAATATTAAATAATTAAATGCATTAATTATTGTCTATCAGTGCAAATCACAGCTGAAGGAAAACACACTGCACACTGACGCACACTGCCGCAAACTGCACACTGACGCACACTGCACAATAGAGCTGCGCGATATGGCTGAAAACCATATCACAATATAAGTAATTAATATCGGTCGATAACAATATATATTGATTGTTTTTTATTTATTTTTAAAAACGTACATAAATACATTTGTCGTGTCGGCAAACACATGTTAGCAGCATTGTTTACAGTCACGGGGGAATGAGGCTGGAGCCAAATGTTCACAAGCAGTCTCCCCCATAGTTAGTCCTGGTTTAATCCTGGTTCAGCTCCCGTTTTGGCTATTTTCCAGTGTCTTGTGTCCCTATGACGGCTCCGGAAAGTTAATCTCTTGCTCTTTCGCCGAATGCATCGAGTCTCTGTACCCACTGCTTCTCCTGCGCCGCACATGCTGTTCCTCGCACGGACGTGCATAACCATTGACATGGCACTGAAACACGATCTTTAGATCCATGGCTATTATAATAGATCCAAGATCCATGGCCGCTACGCATGATGCGGTTGTTGTTTTTGCATTTCCCAGAAAGTATTGCGGTTTGTAGTCGGCTGTGATAGGTCGAGAAGTCTACATCCCCAGAATGCTGCACACTTCTGACTCGGCTTTACTTCCTGTGTTTTCTTCCTGTTTTTTCGAACGGAGTGAAGTTAAACCATCCGAAGTTCTATCGACCCCGTTTTCTATTGAGACTGACGCACACTGACACACACTGGTGCACAGGGAACAACGTGCAGCTGTGTGTTGCTCTGATAAAGGGCACATGCAACATAAAGGTGCCTTGCACCCAATTGTTTTGATAAGTTTGAAAAGTGTGTTTCATTTCACAAACATTTTAGTGCAAGTTGAACCATGAGTGAGGCGAGTGTACAACAGTACTACAGTAAAGTACATGAGTGAGGCGTGTATACAACAGTACTACAGTAAAGTACATGAGTGAGGTATGTATTCCCAAGCCAACTGAAATGGACTGCTGGCCCACTTTGGCCCGCGGGCCCCACTTTGAGCCCCTCTGCTCCACACTTTAACCACAGGTGTTGTCACAGAGTGTGAGGAGGAGTCAGTACCAATGTTTTTGAGTCCTTCATAGTTGATCACGGTGTAGCTCAGGTCTATCTCCTCTAGGGGGCAGTCTTTGTGATTCATGAAGTCCCAGTTAAACTTGTTTGCGCGAAACCAGTGGGATTGACCACAGAACCTGAAGAAGATGGAAATGGTTTGAATCCTGTGATAATCATGAAACAGAATATAAAGTATATACGTTCGTTACTTCAGTTTTTTAACCTTAAAAGATTTTTTTAAGAAGTTTGTTTATACAAGAAGTGACCGACGCTTCCATCTTGAGAAATAAACATTCCTCCTTTTTGGTTTTAATTCAGCTGTTTTTGGTCTTTTTGCCACTGAGTCCAATTTGGTGATTGGTGATTTATAATTATCATAAAAAACATCTATCTCATTTATCAGTAATTGGTATTTCAGATTCCAATGATCAAGCTTTAACAATGAATCATATCAGCTGACCTAGTTCTCCGAGGAAAAACGTCACAAATACAATAATTGACAAATGTAAACATTGGCTGTATGTTACTATATAGAAACTAAAGAAATGTTTAAAAACAGATTCTTACCTAAATCCTCCTTTTAGTTTGAGAATAAAATATGCTGAAGCAACATGTGTTCCATAAAAGCTCTCGGTGTAACCGTAGTAACTGTAAAAGACAACCAGGAAATGTCAGAGAAGGACGAGGATTAGAATAGCACAAAGAGCACTATATAAATACAGTGCCTTGCGAACGTATTCGGCCCCCTTGAACCTTTCAACATTTCGCCACATTTCAGGCTTCAAACATAAAGATATAAAAAAAAAAAAAAATTTTTGTCAAGAATCAACAACAAGTGGGACACAATCGTGAAGTGGAACAAAATGTATTGGATAATTTAAACTTTTTTAACAAATAAAAAACTGAAAAGTGGGGCGTGCAATATTATTCGGCCCCCTTGCGCCAACACTTTGTAGCGCCACCTTTTGCTGCAATTACAGCTGCAAGTCGCTTGGGGTATGTCTCTATCAGTTTTGCACATCAAGAGACTGGAATTCTTTCCCATTCTTCCTTGCAAAACAGCTCGAGCTCAGTGAGGTTGGATGGAGAGCGTTTGAACAGCAGTCTTCAGCTCTTTCCACAGATTCTCGATTGGATTCAGGTCTGGACTTTGACTTGGCCATTCTAACACCTGGATATGTCTATTTGTGAACCATTCCATTGTAAATTTGGCTTTATGTTTTGGATCATTGTCCTGTTGGAAGATAAATCTCCGTCCCAGTCTCAGGTCTTTTGCAGACTCCAACAGGTTTTCTTCCAGAATGGTCCTGTATTTGGCTCCATCCGTCTTCCCATCAATTTTAGCCATCTTCCCTGTCCCTGCTGAAGAAAAGCAGGCCCAAAGCATGATGCTGCCACCACCATGTTTGACAGTGGGGATGGTGTGTTCAGGGTGATGAGCTGTGTTGCTTTTACGCCAAACATATCGTTTTGCATTGTGGCCAAAAAGTTTGAGTTTGGTTTCATCTGACCAGAGCACCTTCTTCCACATGTTTGGTGTGTCTCCCAGGTGGCTTGTGGCAAACTTTAAACCAGACTTTTTATGGATATCTTTGAGAAATGGCTTTCTTCTTGCCACTCTTCCATAAAGGCCAGATTTGTGCAGTGCACGACTGATTGTTGTCCTATGGACAGACTCTCCCACCTCAGCTGTAGTTATCTGCAGTTCATCCAGAGTGATCATGGGCCTCTTGGCTGCATCTCTGATCAGTCTTCTCCTTGTTTGAGATGAAAGTTTGGAGGGACGGCCGGGTCTTGGTAGATTTCTAGTGGTCTGATACTCCTTCCAGTTCAATATAATTGCTTGCACAGTGCTCCTTGAGATGTTTAAAGCTTGGGAAATCTTTTTGTATCCAAATCCGGCTTTAAACTTCTCCACAACAGTATCTCGGACCTGCCTGGTGTGTTCCTTTGTCTTCATGGTTCTCTCTGCGCTTTAAACATAACCCTGAGACTATCAAAGAGCAGGTGTATTTATACGGAGACTTGATCACACACAGGTGCATTCTATTTATCATCATCAGTCATTTAGGACAACATTGGATCATTCAAAGATCCTCACTGAACTTCTGGACTGAGTTTGCTGCACTGAAAGTAAAGGGGCCGAATAATATTGCACGCCCCACTTTTCAGTTTTTTATTTGTTAAAAAAGTTTTAATTATCCAATAAATTTCGTTCCATTTATTTATCATTGTGGTCAGAAGCTAAGCAGTGTGGGGCCTGGTTAATCCTGTGATGGGAGATGACAGCAGTGGCTCAAAGGGGAGAATATTGTTATTGTGTCTCCAGGCAAGTCACATCACCGACTGTTTGTGTGTGTGTGTGTGTGTGGGTGTGGGCGTGTGTTTGGTGGTAGTGAAATAATGATTACTTATTGATGACTTGCCACATTAGCATCAGAAGGTGTCGCTGTGGGAGGGGCTACAGATGGATAATAGCATGATAAATTTGTAAAGTGATTTATCTTTGACTAAAAAGTAATTGTAGCTCCAGGGATTGTTACTAAATTATTTTATTATCTCTATATTTATACTTGAATGTGGTTTGATGTGTGCATAACCTAGTGATGTGCTGAGCGTGCCGGGTCTTCGAAGCGTGTACCGAGTAAAAAAGGGGCGTATTTTTTGAGGCGTGTGTTGGTGACGTATGTGGTGACGTTCGAAGCCTCGCGTAGCGGCCGCACCACGTGACGGTTCATATAGTGCTTCATATAGTTCGGAGAGTGCATTGCTTTGAAAGGTGCTTTGTGATCCGCGGCTGTACCATAGACCGTATTGGCTGTCCCCGTCTGCCTCTGTGTGCGTACGTGTGTGTGTGTGCGTACGTGTGTGTGCGTGATGTGGAGCAGTCCTGTTCTAAGTATAGAGAAACTACTTCATATGAAATACAATTAAAAACGTTTCACTTTAGTAAAACCTCATATATCAAGGCTTCAAGTTAGTAGTAATAATACGCTGGATAATACATTTCACAACAGCTGTGTGGCGCAGTCGGTATATGACGGACTCCAAAATAGAAGATATAGCGTTCGAATCCTGGTCTACCCATAATAACTTTTGTGTTGGAAAGTAAATGTATTTATTTATTGGGAATAAATGGTTTGTGTTTAATTAATCCACCTCTTGGTAGTTTTTCCTCAATTAATCACTTTCTGTAGAACTGTATTACTTTGGATGTGTTTGTTGTATCAACACAATTGAATGAAAGACTCAAATAGTTCATAGTTCATGAAGCATCATTTCAAACACAACACGTTAGACCATAGATTGTAAATATAAATTTTAACATTAAATCTCACCATTCATTGTAAGCCCTTAAGTGTTATGTATTTTTTTGTCCACATGATGGCGTAGTGGAGCATGATTCACCTCGAGCCTTCGAACCATGGGCCTAGTAATAGGCTGCAAACCCTCAATGCATCATGGGGCTTCCTATTGCCATCACTAATATTTATCATTATAATATATCATAATATACAATAAACATATAAAACCTTATTATCAAACTGTAGTGTTTTGTCCTCACACATTTTTCTTCAGGAGTCGACTCTTTTTAAACTGTTTCGTCCAAACCAACAGCGCCTCCACGTCGTAGAAGCGCTTTCTGAGGTACTGCAGGAGGCCAGACCGAGGTTTGTCCACAGCACTAGAGCTCAGCAGGCGACTGGGACTCAGACTGGGACTCAGCAGGTGACTGGAGACTGCGAGACGTCTGCAACATCTGTACGACGACTGGACACAGAGACAGAGAAGATCAGCTGAACATGTGTCAGGACCAAGCCCCGGTGATCCAAGATGGCGCCCTATAAATGAATGGCTTGTGCTCAGTGGTTCATGGGAGTTAACGGAGACTGGGAGATTAACAGAACTCGCCTATATTTGGGCATCGTCTGGTCCTCCCTGTTCTGCTCAGTGGACGAGCTCCCATGATGCTTTGTGCCAAATACGCGTGTGTGGCTCTCATGAACGTGCACAGAGGGGCTCGGCCGCGCTCTGACCAATCAGAGCTGCTGATCAGAGCAGCAGCAGAGCGGAGTCTGAGCGGGAAGGAAAGGAGCAGAGTTTGTGGCACTAAAGTGTGGATTTAAAGAAAACCGAAGGATTTAAGACGAAAAAAAGTTCAGGATGACAAGGAACACTAAAATCCCCACAAAATCTGACCTTTATGAAAGCTGTAGGTCCTCTGTCAGGTCCTCTGTCAGGTCCTCTGTCAGGTCCTCTGTCAGGTCCTCTGTCAGGTCCTCTGTCAGGTCCTCTGTAGGTTCTCTGTCAGGTCCTCTATAAGGTTCTCTGTCAGGTCCTCTGTCAGGTTCTCTGTCAGGTTCTCTGTCAGGTGAGGTGGAGCTGTTTTAGTTTACATTGACATCTATGGGACTTTTTTCTGGGTTGCCTACGTGAATTTAGTCTGCAACACCACAGCGCCCCCTGTGCCCATGGGTGGGACAGCTATAGACTAGTAATACTCTATCCAGTTACTATTGTATCCATGGTTAGGACTCACAGAACTCAGAGCCATTGGACTGCTCCATGTATTAAAAGACATTTACAAAGTATTAACCAGGACTCACTTTTAAACAAGGGCAAAAACGTGAATTTACAACAAAGGCCAGAAGCTAAGCAGGGCAGGCACTGCGGCCAATGGCACATAGTACTTGCCTTACTTCTGTCAGTGTGCCCCGGGGCAGCTGTGACTGCTGTAATAGTTTATCACCACTGATTATGGTGTGAAAGAATAATGATGTGAAGCGTCTTTGAGTGTCTAAAAAGTGCAATATAAAACCAATGCATTGTTATTATTATAGAAAATGAATGACTTATGTGTTGTAAATATACAGTATTTCGTCCGTCCTGTGTCACGGATTTTTCATGATAAATTGTACATAATTATTTAAATAATTATATACACATATACATGACTGAAAGTACTAATTAAGTTTGTTATTACAAACAAATCCCACGTGCGTTCGGGACATAAATATACGCTTCCTTAAACAACCAACCAGAGAACAACAATCCATTTAAATCCAGATATAGTGTTTTTAGCGTTAAAAACAGTCATAATGTGTATTATTATAGATCCCTGAGGTGAACTCACCGAGAGGGGAGCCGCCATTTTGGATTAAATAACGGGGCGTCACGAGGGACAAACCCGAGTCTTTCGCTTTTTTCTGAAATAGCTTCTGTTTCTCTCCACCAGGGGGCACTGCGCATCCATCGCTTTCTGGATGAACCCAAACAGACCCCACCGCCTTAAAATAGCCACAAAGGGATATTTTTAGCAGCAAAAGAGAAAATCTAAATACAGCCGCACACGACGTTTAAAGCAACGATGTTTTGTTCAGTTAAATCTGCATTTTAACTGATTTTTCTCCCATCTGCTGCTGTAACGACCCACCTGGACATACCTTGATTTATTGTTCAACACCTTTGAGAGAAGGGGCTCAGCTGGAATTGAATACATTATTGTTTAAATACTAACTCTGTTAGCGTGAATACATTATTGTTTAAATACTGACTCTGTTAGTGTGAATACATTATTGTTTAAATTCTGAAATGTGATACAGTAATTTTTCCTGTGGCCTGATGAGAACTGAGAGCACATTTTACTTGGTTTTGTGAAGGAACGGGTTTGAGTTTTGGTCTTGTTGGAAAAAGCCAATGTAATTATGTATTGTTTTGTTTCATTGAGACTTTAATATTTCAAGCTACAGCAAGATGTGGGAGAAAGATGTGGAAAGGTTAATTAAGTAAGTCTTGTTTGTTCATAAAGCACTTCCCTCTGACCATCTCAGTGTTTAGGCCTCATTAATATTCATTAACATTCACTAATATTCCACATACACTGTGATCAGACTCTAAACCAGTCACTGTTTCCCCTGTGGACATGTCAAACGCACCCCACTTTGAACACAGCCTTTGGAGCTTCAGACCCAGTGCCGTTCACTTTTACCTTTTGAAAAGTTGGCCATATCTTAACACACAAACCCATCGAACTCTTTGAAATGATGATGAGTTCCACATTTATACAGTAGAAGTATGTGAGACACAGAGCTCTCCTCTGATTGGCTGATGAATGTGATGGTGTTAGAACTTAATGAACAGCAAAGTCCAAAACAGTGTTTACCTCAGACTGGGATTTACCAAAGTGCAAACACAGATTGAACTGTAGTACATGTGGCCTCTGAAGCTAAACAGGACAGGGCCTGGTTAGTGCTGTGATGGGAGACCTCTGGGAACACCCGGTGCCACAGTGGGGCGGCTGCGGCTGTAAAGTGCCAAACTGTGGTTGTGTCCTTAGGCAAGACACTTCCCCACAGCGGAGGTTGTTCCAGGGATCCGCTGTAACCTCCTCCAGCTTCGGGGTCACTGCCCCGAGTGCACCATCACCACGGGCACTACTGTCTCCTTTACCTTCAGACTCGCTCACTACCGTCTCCTTTACAATACAATACAATTTATTAATGTATAGGCCTAAGTCACAACAGAAGTAATCTCAGAGGAATTAACAAAACCATTGAAATCACCAACACAGATCAGAGAATCAACAATTAAAACACATGAAAAATATAAAGCACACACACAAAAATGTCCATACATGTTGTAGAATGTTAAAGTGTCCTGGATCATCACCACATCCTTTTTGTTGGACACCAACTGTCCAACAAGACCCTCCTGCATCGGCAAGGAAAAACTCTTAAAAAACCCAGTGGGAAAAAGTGAGAAACCTTGGAGACCCAGTTGAGAAAGGGATCCGCTCCTCCGGACGGACAGGCTAATGATCCAGGACCTAAGCTAGCTACAGAACGTGGACCGGTGGCCGCTGAACGTGGACAGGTCCGGTGCAGTATTGAAGCACTCCCAGGCGGGTCGGGCGGGGCAGTCCGCAGGTGTAGATGGAGGAGGCCAGGTCCGGAGGTCCCGTCATTGTACCATGAAACAGACAATGGGACAACGGGTGAATAGCAATGAACAAACTACAGTCAAAATCCTAATAATGCTAAACAGGTAAAGTAGGAAGGAGGAGAGGATAGTGCTCAAGTTACCATACTTCTCCCAGAAAACTGACTCCCTATGCAGCTTGACTGACAGTCTGAAGAGTTTAGCCTTCCCAGAGTCTTACCTTCCTAGCCATATGCTAAACTAAAGAGGACTGTTTTAAGCCGAGTGTAGCATGTGGCTACGCTAAACTATTACAGGTCAGGTAATAATTTGACACACACACTATCGAGTTCTGGGCTAAAAATCAGAAGTCCCAGTTCGGCTCTAAGAGTGGGGAGAGACACACTGAAACACCGTTGAATTTTGCAGATGGTACCACCACATGTATTGAATTTAAAGAGACTATGACAAACAATGACATACAACAAATTGACATATATAGACAAGACAATAAGTTCTGTTTGGCTTCCGGAATTGTCCACTTCAACGGTTGCACAAATGTCAGAGTTCGCGAAGCGCACAAAACACCAAAATATAATCCAAGTGCTCGTTCGGTGAGCGGTTGTTTGGTTGGGCTCAGATATTCCAAAGAGTGAGTTTTAACGTGTGAATGTGAGTCAATATGAAGTGAGCCCCTCACTTCGAACACGAGGACAAATCAAAAAGGAAAAAGGGCGGCTACAGGAGCCTCCTACCCGACCGGAGCAGGAGGATGCAGTTGTCTGACTGGACTGAGTTCCTCTGAGCTCAACTCTAGTTCGGGACTAAGCTCACCATCCGGAAACACCTGGCCAAAGTAATAGAGCCAAGGTTCAATTAAAAGTCTATGTGCACCAGTGACGTGCAGTCAGGGGAGGCAGAGCCTCACCTGCCATCATAGGAAACAAATAATTATTTTAGTTGTAATATGTAATTGTTTTCCATTGTCCTGTGATTTTAATGTATATTTGGCACTGTTCCGACCAGTTTTGATCAGTTCTGTAGTCAAAATCGTTGAAATCCTATTTTTCCTATTCAAAGACCGAAGGTGAGGCAGCGCTCATACGTGCCTCCCCCCAGATCGCTCGCTCCCACACAGTGATCTGTATGAGTGCACTCAGCTCGTGCTGTTGATATATCGCTGTTTGTTTTTAATATCCTGCTTTGATAACATTTGTCTAACTTCTCATGGTGTTTAGTAATGTATTGCACGTATGTGTATATTATTTTTATTTAGTTTAAGTCTTTTGATTGGAGAAGAATACACAAGGGAAAAGCTTGGCGTGAGGCAGGCAGTGTCTGTGCCTCACCGCTAGGGGTGATAGTGAGCATAAAGTTCATATCCGATTTGCTAACAAACAATCAGCCCAATATGCTATTTCTTTTGCTGGAAAATGGATGATTTGATTGAAGATGTTTTTCTCAAATGGACTTTCAATCAAAGCAAGAAATAATATAGACTGAGAGACCACCGCTGGACTTACAAGGTTAGTCCGGCCGCGGGGGAGGAGTTTCAGTCTCTGTGTTTAAAGCTGCTCTAACTGACTTTGGGATTTTGAAGCCGCGGACCCGCTGGCCTCTCTCTTTCTGCTCCCCTCCCGCACCCACGAAGCTATCGCCCCCCACACACACTCAGTGTTGGGACGGAGCTAGTGTCTCCCAATATGGATAATACATGGATATGGAATGGATTTACACGTGGATGGCGTGACCATAAAACGATAGAACCGGGAAGCGCGGAGGAACGGGACTTTCTTTTGGATGGCTGTTTCGCTAAGTAAGCAGTAACCGGTGATGAAGACACGAAGCTTCAGGTTAGCTCCTCGGCTTGTTGTGCTAACTCAGCTGTCTGTGCTAACAGAGACCTGTAGATTTCTCACGAAAGTGGGGGCTATTGGTCCGCTGTGATTGGTCACAATCTGCGACCCGAAACACATTCTCTTCCTTGTTTCATCAAAACTCGATCTAAAATATAATGTCACGCCAGCACAAATCTGCGCTAATTATTCTTCAAAAGGACGTATATCCCAATGCACTACATGGACATGGATAGCATTTTCGTAATGAATACGAAAATAAAGTTAGTTAGTGCAGCTTTAATGTTTAAAAATGGACTAGATAGCTGCTTAATAGTGCTTCTCCGAAAAACACTGATTCAACCACTCAACAGTTCTGCAACTCCTTCTCTCTCTCCTCGCGTCTCTGTCTCTCTCTCTCCTCGCGTCTCTTTCTCTTTCTCTCCTCGCGTCTCTCGCACCTGCGCTTAAAGATGTTGTTTGATGCGGAGCAGAGAGTCAGCAGCTAGATTTGTTGTGAGATCTTTAAAAGAAGCTAGTCCTCTTATCGTTACAGTATAGGAAGTTTGTGGATGTTATTGCATTGGTGATTAAATGCTTTTTTATTTTAAAAATGTTGGTAAATCTGACTTTTAAAGTCAGTGCCTCCCCTATCACAATCCTCACCGCACGTCACTGATGTGCACATAATCAAAATCTAAACATTACAAACACTATTTCATAATACATACTGCAATATGCACTAAATAAAACAGTGAATGCATCTCATTGTACAATAATCAAACTCAGTCAAAAAACACTACTAAAGTGCATCAAAAATGTGAAATAGTATACATTAATCATCAATATCAATAGTGACCAATGAACCATGGCACTACAGTATACTGAGATGCACCGATCCAGCTTTTTTACTACCGATACCGATACCAGAGCTATGGGTTTCTGCCGATACCGATATTGACCGATACCGGAAATGATCATGCTAAAATGTATTTAATAATTGAACTCTTTGTTTAAGTAACTGCAAAAGCAGTGGATGAACTGTTAGTATTAGATAGCAATATGGCCTATGTGCAGGACTGTACAAGGACTCTGATTATTTTGACTATGATGTGACTGTCTCTGTGTGACACGTACGTCTTTCGATGTGTGACGTGACAATGACTCTATAAACTGTGTACTGACTCCATTCTGTCTGAGGGAAGGAAACAAAGGAAACCACTGGAACTTGAGAGAAACTTAAATAAACTTCCAGAGTTTGGCGCACCACGATCCGTCTCTGTCTGCTTCATCCCTGACAGATTTGGTGGAGGATGTGCGGCTCAGTGTGCGCCATTCTCTGGATTGTTTTGAGGGAGTTTGCTTTGTTTCTTTTCCTCTGCGTGAGAGACCGGCATGC